ACATGAAACAGATCAGCAGCAACATGGAACAGATCAGCAGCAACATGATGTGATTTTCACAGTGATTCTCCTGGTCAGAGATTCATGAGTCTAACAGCCTCAGGGTAGAAGCTGTTCCTCAGTCTAGTGGTTCTACACTTAATGCTCCTCAACCTCCTTCCTGAGGGGAGCGGGACAAAAAGTGTGTGTGCTGGGTGAGTGTGGTCCTTCATGATGCAGGTGGCCCTCTTCCTGCATCTGGAGGTGTAGATGTCTGTGATGGTGGGGAGACTGACTCCAACATCTTCTGTGCAGCCTTCACCACTCTCTGCAAAGCTTTTCTTTCTGCAGCTGTGCAGCCTCCATGCCACACGTTGATGCTGGAGCACAGGATGCTCTCCACTGCACACCTGTAGAAGGAGGTGAGGACTGAGCTTCCCAGACCAGCTCGCCTCAGCCGTCTGAGGAAGTAGAGTCTCTGATGATCTTTCTTCATCAGGCTGGTGGTGTTGTTGCTCCAGCTGAGGGTGTTGTTCAGGTGCACACCCAAGTACTTGTAGCTGGAGACCACTTCCACTACAGATCCTCCTATGCTCTGGGAGGTGTAGGTGTGTTTGTTCCTTCTGAAGTCCACAATCATCTCCTTTGTCTTCTTCACATTGATGTGAAGGTTAGGGTGCATTCACAGCAGCCCTGTTTAGTCCACTTTAATCGAACTCTAGCTCGTTTTCCTAGAAAGTCCGGTTCGTTTAGGGAGGTGTGAACGCGCCATCAAACTCTCTCACGGAACAAAAAGGCGAACTCTGGCCCGGCTAAAACCTAGGTCTCGGTCCGGTAGAAGAGAACTCCAGCGCGGTTCCAGTACAGTGTGAATGTAAACAGACCGGGCCCCGCTCCTCAGGACAAACAAACACACATTTCTCTTATATGGAGCCGTCAGCTGCCTTGTGTGAAGAACAATATTCTCCATGGTCTTCTGTCTCATCTTCTGCTCATGCTGAGTCCATTGTTGAAAAATGACTAAATATAACTCCTAAAACTGCTAAAACTTGATGCCACTTCATTTTATTTTTATTTACAGAAGAAGAAGAAGACGTGTCTTCAGAGGTTTTTGTGTCGTTTCCTTCAGTAGTTCTTGGTGCAGCGCCCCCACAGGTGAGCGGGGGAATAGGTTGGTTCAACAGGTTGGTTCAACAGGTTGGTTCAACAGGTTGGCTCGACTGCACAGTGCAGTGTGAATGCAAACGCACCAGCTCAAATGTAACATAAGGTCATGAATATCGGTCCCGAACCGAACTCAGTCTACCAGACTATCAGATGTGAAAACAACCTTATTCTCTTTACACCAGCTCTCCAGGTGTTCCACCTCCTGCCTGTAGCTGGACTCATCATTGTTTGTGATGCATCCCACCACCGCTGTATCATCTGCAAACTTTACAATGTGACAGCCTGGATGGGTAGCTGCACAATCATACGTGAGCAGAGTAAACAGGAGGGGGCTCAACACACATCCCTGAGGAGAGCCAGTGCTGAGGGTTATGGTGGAGGAGGAGAAGTTGTGGATCCTCACTAACTGTGGTCTGTTTGTTAAGAAGTCTAGTACCCAGTTGCAAATGGAGGGGCTTAGTCCTAGTTGTCCATCAGGGTTTGGGGGATCATGGTGTTGAAGGCAGATGTGAAGTCCACAAAGAGCATACGGACGTAAGAGTTTTTCTGCTCCAGGTGGTTGAGCGCAGTGTGGACCACAGAGGAGATGGCGTCCTCTGTTGATCGGTTCTCATGGTATGCATACTGATGAGGGTCCTCGTTGATGTTGATGGTTGTTTTGATGTGAGTCATGACCAGTTTTTCGAAGCATTTAGCGACTATCAGGGTGAGGGCCACTGGCCGATAGTCATTCAGACCAGTCACTGTAGAGCTTTTTGGGACTGGGATGATGGTGGCAGTCTTCAGGCAGGTGGGAACTGCCTCCAGGGTAAGTGAGGTGTTAAAGATGTCTGCCAGCACCTCGCAGAGCTGATCGGCACATTCCTTGAACACTTTTCCGGGGATGGTGTCTGGGCCAGTTGCTTTGTGCGGATTAATTCTCCTGAAGGTCCTCCTTACTTCTGCTGAGGTCACGCTGAGATGCTCTTCATCTGGTGGTGAGGTGAGTCTGGTGCTGGGTGGTCTGTTTGGGTCTTCAAAGCGTGCATAGAACTTGTTGAGGGCATCAGGCAGAGATGGGTCTTTGGGGCATTGTTCGCTTCTTCCTTTATAATCTGATATGCACTTAATGCCCCTCCACATGCTCCGAGGGTCTTGTGAGATGAATTGACCCTCGATCCTCTTTGCATATGTGGCCTTGGCCCTCTTAATACCAGCAACCAGCTCTTTTCTTGTCCTACTCAGCTCCTCTGAGTTTCCAGACCTGAAGGCAGTGTTCCTGGCTTCCAGCAGGGTACGCACCTCTGCATTCAGCCAAGGTTTTCTGTTTGGGTAGCTTTTAACTAAAATCAGGTCTCTCTTGTAAATGAGTCCTCGAGGCTCAATGGGATTTACCTGTATAAATAAAGGTTGATTGATTAACATTTCTGATAGTGGAGACAGTGTCAGTACATGTACTAATGTAACCCAGAACTGAGGATGTGTATTGGTCAAGATCAAGCGAACCTCCATTTTCAGCAGCTTCTCTGAAAACCTGCCAGTCTGTTCGGTCAAAACAATCTCTCAGTATGGGGCCACTGTCCTGGCTCCAGCATTTAACTTTCTTTTGTACCGGTCTGGAGCGTCTCAGCGGGGGCAGGTAAGCAGGAGCCAGGAAGATTGAGATGTGGTCTGACAGTCCTAGGTGGGGGCGGGGTTCGGCTTTGTATGCATCTTTTACGTTTGTGTAAACACGGTCCAGCGTGTTGTCTCCATGTGTTGGAATTGCCACATGTTGATAAAAGCTTGGGAGACAGTCCTTTAGATTCACGTGGTTAAAGTCTCCGGCTACCACGTAAAGAGCTTTGGGGTGTTTGTTCTGCAGCGAGCTGATGATATCATGAAGCTCCTGCAGTGATTCATTAGCATTAGCGTCCGGAGGAATGTAGACGACAGAGATGAAAGTCACAGTGAACTCTCGGGGTAGATAATGTTGCCGACATTTCACTGTTATTTGCTCCAAAGCCTTCGAGCATGAGCTATTTACAACAGTAGAGTTCACGCACCAACTTTTACTCACGTAAATGTATACTCCGCCTCCCCGTGATTTCCCCGTTAGCTCGTTGCAGCGGTCCGCTTTGAGTATCACGATAAGATAGAAAGGTGATATACAAGTACAGTCCATTTACCATTTAAATAACTGAAACAACCAGGAACACTTAAATAACAAACCTGAAAACTTAAATAATAGAAACAACAGGTTTCTGTGTTCATCTGCTCACACAGCCTCATGTTCGTGCTGCTGTTCGACGTAATGTTTTTATAGTTGTAGTGCTTAGTGTATATTTAGTTGATGCTTTTCTTAGCTCATATCATAGATCTTATTAATGTTATTTTACATTTTATTGATGGATGTAACTGGGACCCTGTGAACATAATTTCATTCCACCACATGAGATGAGAATGACAAATAAATCTCTCTGACTCTGATAATAGAAACAACTGGGAACATTTAAATAAAACAACTGGGAACATTTAAATAAAACAAC